AAGAGTGCTGTTGCTGTGATTGCCTAGAGTATATAACCCTCTGAGGTGAGAAATTCGTGAGAAGTTTTGTGTGTGTCTTATTATGCGACATTGTTTGGATGTTTGTTCTAAGGTGATGATAAAAAGCTCCCCTTTAAAAAATGACAGGTGTTGAAAAGGCTAAACATGATGCATATCTGTGATTTACCTCATGGCCACGTTTATAACATGAAAATGAAAGTCTACCATACTGTGGCATCGCACACCAACAAATATGCTGTTCACTTGTTTAGAGGTGAAAAGGATTTTGTCCTTTTTTCTATCACCTTTCCATTCTATCTGCACAAATCATTTCTTGACTACTTTGTCCTTTTATTCTTCATTTTTACATATGTCTTATTACACTACAGAAGCCCGGTATTGTAATGCAGCTTCTTTTATTAAAGGGACAGTCCACCCAAAAATGTATATTCTGTCATCATTTACTCACCCTCAAAAAGGTTTTGCTTTTTCCTCTGCAATTGCAATGAATATAGACTGGGACTCCCTGCTGAAAAAAAATAAATAAATCCAATAAAAATCCTCAGACAATTCATAATGGTTTAAATGGTTTGAATTGGAATTGTATTGGTTTAAATAGAAACTGTAATGGTCCCTGTGGGTCTCTACTCGTAATTTGTTGCTTTCTATTCATGCCAGAACACACTACTGGACAGGGTTGCCAGATCTATGTAATAAAACCAGCCCAAGGGACAATCAAAATAGCCCAATACAAGCCCAAAAACCGTATCCAAATATCAAAACTCAACATATGCCATTCCCAAAATACTTTTTTTTTTTAATTTGTTCTTTTGAACTCTATAAAAGAATCCTCAAATTTTTTATTAATTTTTAAAATCATGATTACAAATTTATGCAATATGTCAAACCTTTAAACTATGGCAACTATACAAGTAGCCCAATTCCACTTGAAAACCGCAATCTTGGCAGCACTGCTCCTGGAAACCATTAGATAATGATTTTAATGGTTAACAGTTGATGGCTTGTAATGTTTGTAATGGTATTTGTAATGGAAACCATTAGAACGTCTGTGATGGTTTCTTCAAGCTTAAAGAAGGGCACATCATAGAAGTATCATAAAAGTGGTCCACATGACTTGTGCACTATATTCACAGTCTTCTGAATTCATACACGAGCATTGTGTGAAGAACTACTGTTCTTCACTGATGATATTCTCCTCCAATGAGCTGTTACAATGGAAGCCTGTTTCCGGCATCGGATGAATTCGGAGTTGGTATTTATCTCACATTTCTGACTTTTTTCTTGCAATTTCTAAGAAAAAAGTTAGAAGTGTGAGATAAAAGCCGCAATTACCTTTTTTTTGTTTTATTCTGTGGCAGAAACAAGCTACCATAGTTAACTGCTGCAACCCTCAAACTGATTCACAAATCATTTAGGCTGCCTTTGTGACCTGGATCAACTGATTCATTATCAATATCTAACTCAAGAAAGATTTGTTCATATAACGCACTAAGTAGTGCTAGAACAAATCTTTCGGTCTAAAATTTTGGACTGTTCCACACACAAATCTTATTATATGGCTTTAGATGATTTGGAATAAAGCAAATGAGTTATATGGCTCTCTTTTATGATACTTTTATGGTGCTTTTACCTTTTTTGAAGATTTCATTGTAATTGCATGGAACCAGTACAATTTCTCAAAATGCTCCTTTTGTATTCCACAGATTAAGAACGTCACAGGTTTTGTACAACATGAGGATCAATAAATAATAAGTGAATTTTCATTTTAGGGTGAACTTTCCCTTTAATGCAAGAATTTCTCCTCTCCACATAACAATATAGATGACTATAGATAAGTGCACAGGCCCTTCACTTTGTTAAGCACATCTATATTCTGCATTATGATGCTATTACAGCATGACCCGAGACATGAAGCTGGCATTGATTTATCACTGCAGGCATTAGACATTGAAGCTCTGAAATCATTGCTGCAGCATGTGCCTCTATCTGAAATTAAGATATAAAACACGCTGACCTACACACCCTCCCTCTCAATGACAGTGACACACACACACACACATGCCTAAGTCTCCATACACATACCTGTCCAATGACACAGTTTTGCTCTCTAACAATCTTGCTAATTATAATTGTTAATTAATTTTCTCACAGTGTCCCCATCAGGAGACTAATAACCTACATTTTACATAATTAGACCTTCAACCTTTTACTCGCTCTCCCGTTCCCTCCCTCTTCCGTTCATCCTTTCCTTCCCTTCGCATCACCTCCTGGACTCTGTCTCACTCCTGTTCTCTGGATGTTAGTGGGTTAGTGTTATGTCCTAACACCGTTCCTTGCACCCTTGTCCCAATATAGCAACACTGTGGCCGGACCCCTCACTGTCACCCTTCCCTCTGGTCTTCCTCTTTTAATGTCAGTCTGACTGCCATCTTGTCTGCCTCCTCTCTGTCTCACATACACTGTGACCTGGTTTCAGATGCAGATGTAAGAGCTACAGATAGCCACCTGAGTGCAAGAGCATCATGCACCTATTTGTTTTCAGGGGGCACCAGGGGCACTTCTGACTCACTTGTGCTCTAGGCAAGATAAGTGATGAAAACTTCAGTGTAACATGATCCTTTAGAAATCTTTCTAATATTCTGATTTGCTGCTCAAAAAACATTTAATATTATTATTATTATTAATAATAATATTTAAAACAGTCGAGTAAATTTTTTTCAGGATTGAAAATGTTTTTTTGAGTTTCGGGTGACATGAGTGTGATTTTTTTTTTCTTCTTGTATTAAAAGTGTGCTTAACTTTTGAGGGTTAGTAAGATTTATTTAAAAAGTATTTATAAAAGGTATTAATTAAAAGGTATAACACTATTGTTCAAAAGTTTTGGGTCGGTAAGATTTTTGAAAATGTTTTTGAATAGAGTTTCTTATGCTCCCCCAGACCACATTTGCTTAATCAAAAATGCAGTAAAACCAGTAATGTTATGAAATATCATTTGCATTTCAAATAGCTGTTTTCTAATGTAATGATTTGTTGTGTAATGTTTTTAATATGTATATAATTTATTCTTGTGATGATAAAGCTGAATTTTCAGCAGTCATTACTCTAGTCTTCAGTGTCACATGATCCTTCAGAAATCATTCTAATATGCTGATTTGCAGTTCAAGAAACATCTCTTATCATTATAAGTGTTTTTGTAGAAAATGTGATAAATTTTTGCAACATTCTTTGATAAATAGAAACATTTTTTTAAATATAATTTTTGTAACTGTATCCAATGTAAATGTCTTTACTGTCATTTTTGATCAATTTGATTCATCAATGCTGAATAAAAGTATTAATTTCTTTAAAAAAAATTATATCTTACTGATCCCAAACTTGGATGGTGGTGTATGTACAAAAATGCAATTTTAAAAATCTTCCAATAAGGCATATTTCCAAATAGACCATACATAAATTTATGCCGAAATGGAACTTAATCAGGTTTGTGCTTGAAAAAAAAATACCAATGTGGTAAGAATAAGTAATACACTTAATTCAACATATGCTGTTGTCAATTGTGTAAAGAAGTTAATTTATCTATAAATATTTCTAAATTTTCACTGCAAAACAAGTCAAAAGAATTGACATTTACTAAAAGAGTTGACATTTATGAGTACACTTTCGATGACATACACAGAGAGGGCAGAAGAACACTGTCCCGCACGTGTGTTACATGACCACGCTTGTTCTCAGTTTCCTCCATGCCTCATAAAACTCATGCCCTGAGGGGCCTGCTAAATTATGCAGTCCTCTCTGTTTGAGCTGCCATTTAACTACAAGCTCCACAGAACACGCTTAGAACTGCAACCGGCCATATGGCCCATGCATTACCCGCATATAGACCTCATGTTGTTCATTAGAACAACTCAAATAGCTTCTGATAGATGCATCTGTTTCTCGTTCTGTCCTTTCATTTCAGTTCATTGAAGTTTTATTGGTATGTCTATTGGAATACAGTACAGCATGTCCAAAGTATTGTGAAGTACATTTGTAAATATTTTTAGGTTCATAATTTTCATGAACTACTCAAAGCACTATTAATCTACTATATGCAAGTGGTATAAGTACCATCAAAACATTTAGGGAGATTTTTAACGAGAAAGACAAGACATCAGACTTTTACCATTACAGGGGCAACTGCAACATGTCAAGGAAAAGTATTATTATTACCATTCCTTTTTTGTACTTTTTTTTAATGGTAATATTGTGAAATATTATTACTATTTCAAATACTCATAGTAATAATTTCTGATCCTTCAGAGATTATTTTAATAGGCTGATTTGCTGCTCAAGAAACATTTTTTATTATATTGATGTTGAAAATGGTTGTGATGTTTCATATTTTTGTGGCAACCGTGATACATTTTTTAGCATTCTTTAATGCATAGAAAGTTCAAAAAAACAATGTTTAATTTAAATAAATTTTTTTACAATTTTATATATTTTTTTAGTATATTATTAGTATAGTATATTTGTTTCATAGGGTGAATTCAGGTGAATTCAACTGTTTTTTGGCATTGAGATGACTGTGACTACTGCAAAATTTACCTAAACTAACCTTACAGTATAAATCACTACTGAATCCTATTAACTTCAATCCTCTTTTCCCTCTCTCTGTCTCTTTGCCCTTGTCCTGTCTCAACCTATATTTCTGAGTATATGTTGATGTTGATGGCTCACACCTCTCAAACCTTTTCAACTGGTCTGAAGGATGCTTATAAAGAGCCGTAGATTGTCTCAGATGCATTTCAGAGCAGATTATACCCAAGTGTTGAGTGTCAAAGTATCTTATTTTAGCACTTGAGGGATTTATGCTAAGTTGTGTTTTGCATAGCAAAGATATCAGGAGCAGAGCAACCTGTTATTATGGTGAACTGAAGAGCCCTTAAATTGCCTGTCAGATCAGGATATTTTGAAATGATCTTATCTGTCATGGCCTCAGCAGCTTATGTCTTCTGTTTGCCCTCTCTGCTCATACACATACACTACACTACAGCTCTCTATGATCTTCTCCTTTCACAAATCTATGCAATTACACACAAGATAATTAGACGGCATGATGTGAGTTGTTATTTATGTTTTACAGGGGAATTGGAAAGCAAGGATTCCAGTGTCAAGGTAATCATTTTGAATGTATGAAATGATAAAATGATGACACATTTGACCATATTTAAATTCATTCCACAGATTCACATTCCACAGACAAGTGCAGAAAACACAAAATAACTGATTCTACCTGGGACTTCTTATCGTCAAAGTCTTTTCATATCTCCATAGCAGTCTGTCTTTTGTTTTCATGTACCATTTTTTTATGGGCTACCCTACTTATGAAATAAGTAACGTTAATTGTTATCATGCATGAAGATCCAAGGATGTAACTTAAGGGGTTCGATTGACGTCAGAGTTCGGTACATTTGGATGATGTCTTCCGAACTCGGGTGCGCACCTTCGAACCGTACCCTAGTCCGCTTAAAAAGGGTGGTCTGGGGTACGGTTCGCTGCTGATGTGAACGCAATTGTACCATTTTAGGATCGAGTCAGTTAGAAATACCAAGGGTTCACACAAAACAAGGGGAGTCTGCTTTTAGTTATTATGCCGTCCGCAGTTGGAATCAGCTTCCAGAAGAGATCAGATGTGCTAAAACATTAGTCACATTTAAATGCAGACTCAAAACTCATCTGTTTAGCTGTGCATTTATTGAATGAGCACTGTGCAATGTCCGAACTGATTGCACTATATTTTATGTATAATCGTTTTCTATTCTTAAACGTCAAATTCATTTTAAACCACTTAAATCAATTTTTTTTTATCATTTTCAAAGTTTTTAAATTCCTTGTTTTATTGTTGTGATTATTTTTTTTCTTTTCTTTTATGTAAAGCACTTTGAATTACCATTGTGTATGAAATGTGCTATTTAAATAAACTTGCCTTGCCTATATCTGTGCAAGCTTTGGAGGTAACTTGATGGAAGCGATTTACTGGATTTATGCATTGATAATCGTACTGAATATTATCCATATGTAGTTTTTGATAAAAATGTGATTTTCTCACCTTTTTACTCAAAATTATGCATTTTTATGAAACCTACCTATATTCAAATCTTGATTAAAAAAAATTAAAAATAAAATCCTTTAAGCTAGAATAAAACAGATTTTTTTGTTGAAAAGTAGAGGCTCTGATCTTTATTTTGGTGTATTGCATATTCAAATATTCATACAGAAAAATATACTGGAGGCCATCAATTTTTTGTGAAAATCATCAGAATCGCTGGCGGTGGCTGGCAACTTTTTTCAAAAATGCTGGCGGGGAAAGAGGCCAAATTAAAGTGTAGGCCTCCATGATTGAAAAACCCATAAATTTGATCTGAATATTGGGGGAATACATGTCCCACTCGATGTCTGTAGTGGTTATGGCCCTGTGAATATCTGAAAGTGTTTCACTGAATCAATTCATCTTTGACGATAGGTAACGTAAGCTGAGACAGCAAAATCTGAGCAAAGCCATTTTTTTGACCCGACTTCAAGTCCCAGCTCTCTGTACTGTCCAGTATTAATAAAGACAAAAATGGCAACAACAAAAAAAAGCGTTATATACTAAAAGTCAGCATAAAATGAGAATTCACCATTTTTACAAGCATGTTATTGATCTTATTGTAAACGAATCATCCATGCATGTTTATTTTTACTATTATTATTTTTACATTTATTAATTCATAATTTTTTGTTAAAATATTATAATAATTTAGTCTGCTTAAACTCACAAACACTCACATTCAGATATGCCTCCATCCAATTAATAACAAATGGATTGAACAGTATCCTTGCCCTGTATTTATTTATTGATAATCTGTTTCACTTGGATACATGTCACAATACGGAAGAAAAGATCTGATGCTACTTACATCACTACATTAAAAAGACCTGTACCAATTTAACATATTCCCTCTATTTAATCCCACTATGTATTTTTGCTGCATCATGACTTGTATCATGAAATATGACATTTAGGGCCAGATTTTCTAACGGCTTGCGCCAAACCCTATCTGCTGCAAACTACTGTCAGGATACACATTGAAACATTAGTGATGAAAAGGCGTGGACACATTTATTTTTGCAGCTGACCTGATTGCATATGCATTTGTTAGAGTTTCTCTTCCAAAAGCAAAATTTATGGAAGGAGAGTGTTTAAATGAATCATGCAGGGTGATTTACTAAGGTTTGTGGTAGTCAGTTTATTGGTATTTACTCTATTATTTAACGCCCAAAAGAAGCATGCACCAATGTGATTATCATCAGCTCTGATATAGTATGTGTTTACTGACTAGATATGGTATGTGTTTCTTTTAGTGTGCAGTTTTGTGGTGCACAGACGCTGCCATGAGTTTGTCACTTTTACTTGTCCCGGAGCCATCACTGCTCCCAAAGCAGAGGTATGTATACTATGTGTGTTGTTCTCTGTTAATTTGTAAGCAAGGGGCTATATTGTAACACACTTCCATTGTTCCAAATCCTAGTTAGCAGCCTAAGTAGGCAGCTCTTTTCATCAAAGACATCATGGGCTGCTTCCAAAGGTTGTTTCAAAAGGCAGACAACTTAATTTTGCTGCCTCCAAATATACTTTCTTTATATCTCCACATCTTTTGTGGGGAAGGCATTCATAAATGTGCATTATAAACGTACTGTATATTTCATTCAATACAATTCAAATGTTTAGAAAAATAATACAGTGTAATTAAAAATGGATTATCTTACCCAATATCTGTGTTTGTATGTATTATGCATAATATAATATAATATAATATAATCTGTTCATCTTTTATATATAATATAATACAATTTGATATAATATAGTTCTAAATTTATATTATATTATATTATATTGTTAAGTTTATTCACTGGTAAGACCATTTTAATTTAATTCTGCTAGCCATGCAAGGATTTATAAATGACTATAAATTATACTATAATAATATTATTATTCAAGTAATTTATTATTAGTATAACTTTTCAATGACTTGAATTTTTCAAACTTGTGGGAGTCTCTTGCTATATCCTGTGTGTTGCAGTCATCCTTACATTGCATTGTGACAATCTCGCTGAAAAAAATTAATCCAAGATGGTGGACAAAGTGAGATAAATGTTGATTATGTTGTATATTTCAGTCAATACCAAAAAGTGTTGAAAAAATTGTTCAGTGTGTACTTAAAATGTATTTTTAAGAATATATTTGGGTATGTATTTTATGATAAAGTATCACACTGTTAGCTTAGCAACATGCTTATGTGAGACGTGTTTGAAATCAACGTGAAAGTGAAGTAGTGTTTGCGTGGCACATGGCATGTAAAGCATTCCAAATAAGTCACTTGTTAAGATGCTGTCTTAAAAGGCTGCTTCCTATGTAGGTAGCATGGCAGCATACTAGGTTTTTTTTAACAAAGCTACAGTCTTTATTTCACCCTCTCTTTCAGGAGCATGGTTACAACTTTTTATGAGATTTTTTTCATAAGCACCTAAAAATATTGTTGTAAAATGAGGTAACAGAGGAGTGCTTGTGTATGGCTGTGCATGTGCGACTAGGCTGTAAGGAAGGGTAGACAATGATGCATGTGTGAAAAGCAGATGAGGCAGACTGACCGAGAGAAAGAGAAGTGAAGAGGAAGATTGTCAGAGGATGAAGAAAAGGAGCAGGCAGGATACAGAGAGTGAGAATGAGGGGGAGAGAGAGAAACCATGGCAGGGTGGAAAGGGTTTAGGCATTTAGGAGGATTCAGTTTTCACAGCTGAGCTGAACTCATATATTCATCCACCATTCATCCTCAAAATAGCCCTAGCTAATTGGCTCCCAGTGAAAAAGTCACTTCAAAATGAAGCCTTTCCTCTGACCTTTAAAGAGAGAGAGAGAGAGAGAACCAGAGGGAAAGTAGTGCATCTGTTTATTTGTGCATATGCTATGCATAAAGATAGTCATATTTATAGAGCAAAGAACAGTATGAGAGGGTTTCTTATCATACACATAATTTAAGTCTCTTTTTCTTTCTCTCATGGCCAACCTACTACCAAGAACTGAACTGGGTGTACATGGCGGCCCTCTGTGTTGAATATAATCGCATCAAAGTGCTTTTTCCAATAAACAATTAAATAATTAAATGAGTACAATGTTTTTCTTTGTCCCTCTCTCCAGGATCTCAAGAGCAAACACAAGTTTAAAGTACATACATACTCCAGTCCCACCTTCTGTGATCACTGTGGGTCTCTGCTCTACGGCCTCATACATCAGGGCATGAAATGTGCCAGTGAGTCTATTTATATAGAGATCCAAATGAAGTTCATCTAGACTGGAGACTGACATACATTATATATTTTTTATTTTATTTTACTGTTAAGACCACATTAGCTAAACTTGGAAGTGTTTGAACAATTACTTTGTAATTAATTTACCTGAATTCTTGGTGCATGTTAGGATTTACAACGTAATCCTGCCAGCTGTGCAAGTATATATAAATGACTGTAATTTTTCATATTTATTCATTTCAATTTCAGTTACATTAAATGTTATTAAAACTTTCAGTGAATTGTCTGTGGAAGTCTCTAGTTCAAATACAATATGGTAAAGAACAACATTCATGTAGTTTAAACAGAGATTTTATAACACCTTTAGCCTGTTTAAATTTCAGTTTTAAATTTTTATCAAACCTTAGATCTAAATTAGCATAGCATAATCATCAAGACTACTGTTATTAAATTAACACATAATCTCATGTAATTATATGTAACTGTAGAGCGATGTTTTTCAGACTTTTAATAGATATCTCATACTGTATATTAGATTGAATTAATTCCCTTTAACTCTGGTTCAATCCATTTAATAACAACCATGTCATCTAATATAATTTGCATGACATGATCCACTTTCAGAAAATAATAAAGCAGGTGGTGTCATGTTGTCTCATAAAGTACAATGTACTGCAATGGCTGTTAACACGGTTTATGTTAGATTTAAAAGGTTTACAGTATTAGGCAGACTGCTCTTTATAATTATTGTTTTTGGACTAGCGGGAGACTATAAGTAAATTATATGTAATTTTTTTTCCTTACACTCTTTCTCTCTACATAAGGAAAAAGCTAATTATACACACACACACAATCTGCTGTATTACAATGCATTAGCTGCACTGTGTAAACTTAACTACGCCTGTGGCTCTTAGATCAGCACCACCATAGAGAGACTAATGAGTAGTGAGAAGACTACTAATGCTCTACAGAGAATGTGAGCATTTAAAATGCACTGCTGTTCTTTTAAAGGCAACCAGCATGTCATTCTGACAGGTCAATTTAACAATACAGCTGAAAACACATTCACTGTACAAAGCATACCATCACAACCACAGAGATATTCAGTTTGTTCAATTGCATAATATAATTTATGCAATATAATTCAATACGGTTATGTAAGAACACACATAATGAGTTCTCAATGGGTAATGTATGTTTTAGTGCACGAAGCATATAACCTGATACCCATGGACCCTAACGGCCTGTCGGACCCTTATGTGAAGCTCAAACTCATCCCTGATCCAAAGAGCCAGAGCAAACAGAAAACCAAAACCATCCGTTCTACACTCAACCCTATCTGGAACGAGAGCTTCACCTTGTGAGTCTTATTCGTGTTTCTTTGTTTGTATACACATAAGATGCAGAAGTTGTTGCCAGGGTGTTGCTAAGGTTTTCTGAGTGGATGCTAGGTTATCTCTCTCAGTCCTCCTGTCTGTGTGTAGTTCAGTGCGTGGGAGGCAGTGGGACAGGCGTTTGTCTGTAGAGGTCTGGGACTGGGATCGGACCTCACGGAATGACTTCATGGGCGCTCTGTCGTTCGGCGTTAGTGAGATATTCAGACGATCAGTCAGCGGCTGGTTCAAACTACTCAACCAGGATGAGGGAGAGTATTATAACATCCCTGTACCTGACCCAGACCTGCAGGTACTCGCTCATATAATGTGCACTTTTATTGTTATTATACTTAATTGTACTAATTCCTGTTGACATTTTTTCTGTAATTTGTCACATTTATGATCTGACCAGATTTACTCATTTTTAAACAAAAGTTAATTATTTAATTTTTGGTAACATTCTTGGTAACACCTTTGTTGATTGTGCGTGTGTGTGTGTGTGTATACATGTTTTTCTATCCCGGTGGTGACTTAAAACTGAATACACACCAACTCATGGGGAGTCGTGTCACTGTGGGGTCCTAAATTGAGGTCCCCATGGGGAAACAAGCTTATAAATCATACAGAATTTTTTTTTTTTTGGAGAATGTAAAAATGCTGAAAGTTTCCTGTGAGGGTTAGGTTTAGGTGTAGGGTTGGTGTAGGGTGATATACGGTTTGTACAGTATAAAAACCATTACTCCTATGCAGAGTCCCCACAAGAATAGTAAACCAGACGTGTGTGTGTGTGTGTGTGTGTGTGTGTGCGTGTGTGTGTGGTCCTAGTATTTCCTACATTATGGGGACCAAATGTCCCGACAAATGTAGTATATAGTAATACCAGTAAATGTTGACGTTGTAGGGATATTTTTTTGGTCCCCATGAGGAAACAAGCTTATAAATCATATAGAAATTGTTTTGAAAATCTTAAAATGCAGAAAGTTTTGTGTGAGGGGCAGGTTTAGGGGTAGGGTTAGAGTTAGGGTAAGGGGATAGAAAATAAATTACGCCTATATGTCCCCATAAAACATGGAAACCATGGTGTGTGTGACATTTGTGTTCTGACCAGCTATGAAGCTCATTTTTTAAACAAAACAGTATATTTGTAAATTAACATAAACCTTGATTAATTACCTTCATTAATAATTCATCCATGCAAATGTTTCTACTTTTTAAATTAATTAATTATTTTATTTATTTAGTCCTCATAATTTTTTTTATCAAATTATTATAACTGGATGTTCCAGTGAAATGACAGACTTCACTCTGGTGATATATACAGGACTTCTCTGGTCCTCACAAACCTCACTTCTTTCTTACAATTGACAGCAAGCTCACATTCAAATGTGCCTCCATCCAATCAACAACCAATAGATACTGTAGATCCAAGTTTTTAGATTACAATTACAATATTAAAAGAAAATATCTGTAGCAACTTCCGTGGATTTTAACAAATTTAAATTTATTGTCTCCATATTAGCCATTTTTTATTACCTACCATAAGCACTATTGTAGTGTGTGCAGCCTGCAACTTTTGGGTTGCCTTCCGTAAGTTGTGGTAAAAACAGAACAGTTGTTGCCTCAGATCTTCAAGTGACTATCCATAAAGCATCATCATTGTGCCCTTGAGCAAAGCACTTTCCTCCATTTTGCTCCAGGTGAGATTATCCCTGTAATAGGTGTACTGTAAGTCACTTTAGATAAAAGTGTCAACATGCAATATTCAGCCAAGAGAGTGCTATAGAAGCCTAGGGCCATCTCAGGTCCACAAATAAACACATCGAGATAAAAACAAATGTTCTTTTTGACACCATGGCATCACAAACAGCCAAATCTAAACATTTTGTAAATGTCCTTTTAGTCTGGCTACATTCCCAAGTCTTCCTTAGTGAGCACCTTAATTGTGTCACTTTCATAACACATCCACAGGAGGGCAGTGTAGTACTTTGTTGAAACAAACTATTCTTGTGCTCTCTCTCTCTCTCTCTCTCTCTCTCTCTCTCTCGCTCACTCTCTCTCTCACTCATCCCATCTTTCTCCTAATTTCTGAAGGTACCAGATGCTGCTCTCATGCCCTCTGTTCCTCTTGTTCCTGTTACTGTGACGACGCCTGTTCCTACTGTGACCCCTCCTGCTCTGAATCCAACTCCCACTGCACTGCACACGGGCAAAGGCCGAGTCAGGCTGCATGATTTCAACTTCCTCATGGTTCTGGGCAAAGGGAGTTTTGGCAAGGTGCTTGAAATTACATAAACTTTTTTCATACACTAAATAATTTTAGCAAATGGCTGCAATATAACAAAGCGTGAAAAATTTAAGGGGGTCTGAATACTTTCCGTACCCACTGTATATAGTGGGATCCAGAAGGCCACAATGAAAAAGTGGAATTCAAAATCAAATTTGAACCTGGAAATAAATAAAGTTTCCGGATTTTGAAAAATGAGAAACAATGAAATGCTGTGATGCAAAATGAAGTGTATGCTGTCACTAAAGCAAATAAACAGCACATTTTTCAATTCAACATTTCACTGACATTTGGACCCTGCTGCGTGTGTAAAAGATTGTTATATTTCTCATCCTGGTTGTCAATGGAACAGAAATCTTTAAAGGAAGCTCTCTAGACTCAGACTCAGACAGCACTCCCACAGTCCGCCCACTCTATTCACTGACCGTCTGATGCATATTGAACACCAAAATGGCAAGCGCCGACTATAATCAAGTTTCAAGTCTGTTTGGCTGAATTTCCAAGAGTAAAGACACCTTCTTTTTTTTTTAATTAGTCTGTCAGTAAACAAATTATATTTTAATCATAAGGTAATGAGTTGATACAATGATTGCTTTGAAGGACAAAATAATGAGTCTGGCAGCTTAGAGACATCAATGACAAATATATAGATTAGTCCCTTTCAAGTGTAAACTAGATCAGTTACAGTGCAGTGCATTGGCGTAAATGTAATCATCAGCAAGATTTTTTAAAACAAGTGTTGTCCGTACACTCAGCTCGCACATGTGCTTTGAATTTTTTTGCGCTAATTAGTTTGTCCAACACTGGCCCAAGCTGTTGTTTCAGAGTCAAGACGGAACGACATCTACAAACTGCTGGAGACAGCAACAATAATAGCTGGTGACGTCGACAAGCTCTTGTGTCAGGGGGTTAAAAGGATACTTCACCCAAAAATTTTAATTCTTTCTTCATTTACTCACCCTCATGTAATTTCAAACCTGTGTAACTTTCTTTTGCAGAACATAAGAGAAGATATTTTGAAGAATGTTGGTAACAAAAATGTGTTTTGGCTACCATTGACTTCCAGTGAAAGCAATGAGACAAAAAAACAAAACTGAGACATTTATCAAATTATCTTCTGTTATGTTAGAAAGTCATATAGGTTTGAAACAACATGAGGGTGAGTGATTCCAGAATTGTAATTTTTCTGTGAACTATCCCGTACAAGAAACTCTAGTTTAAACGGGTACAAAGACATTTTTATCGGTCATAAGGAAAGAGAGAAATAGCACAAACACTAGACAAGGGTAAAACTTTTTAGTATGTATGTGTCAAATCAAATGGAGCTTACTTTGAAAAACTGTTGCTGTATCCGAAATCAGATCCTGTACAGTAGGTACTGCAGTTGGGGTACTTGAACTTTGGACTTGGACTTGAACTTGGACTTTGACTGCAGTTATGATGTTTGTTTTAGGTACTTTTTGCCTACTGTTTTATGAACACTATGCATTTGGACATACTACTCAGCTCACATACTGGTTTTTATTTATTTATTTTAATATTTTTTGTCCACAAGGTGGCAAAACTGGCCCAGATTGTTGTTTCACAAAGAAACGGCAGAGATGGAACACAAACTACTGGAGATCGTAACAATAATAGATGGCCATGTTGACGAGCACTTCCTTGGGGGGGGGGGGGGGGGGTAAGAGATAAGTATACTTTCGTCAAAGTATACTTTGAGCTTCAACCTAAGTAGGTGGGTTTGGGACAAAACAGGCTGCAAAGCAGACCAGATTTTTATGCCGAAAGTCAGGCTACATGAGACTGCACTCACCCGTCAACAAACACGTCTACTTCCATGTTCCCTGTAGATGCAATAAGGAGTGCAAAGGGTACAATGTCCTTGGAACTGAATTAGGCCCATGTCTCATTCCTTCCTGGGCTGCTGCTGCTAATTCAGGAAGAAGGGGAAACGCTAAAGCTTTGGTCCCAGCTGCAAGAGGAGGGGGTTGATTTCCCTATCTAAAATTTGCAGCTGTGGCTCTGCCTCACGTCCTCTAGGAGGCAGAAGCTCTGACTCAAGGCCCAGTGAGATGCAGACCTCATTCACCTTAAAATTCCTGGAGCTATGTAGGCACACGGTCATTTCTGTGTTCGGCCAATCCGGTTGTGTGATAAATAAGGCTGATTTTGTGATACGTGTAAGAAGCACCAGGTTATTGTGAGTCCAAGAGCTGCCCTGGGAATGATTGAATATTTCAGAGTGAATGCATTGTTGTTTTGGTCAAACAAAGCACTGTTCCTCGGTCTGTGCTGAACAGAATCTAAATGCTGTTGTTGTGTGTCAGCGCAGAGCACACATGTGAAGGACTCTGATCTGTTTGATCCCTGAGGAAGAATGACATGAGAGAGAGAGTGTGTGTGTGTGTGTGTGTGTGTGTGTGTGCATTTTGCACTCTCTTGTTTGAGCGTGTGGAGGAATGTTTGTTGCCTTTGTTGTTGTGCTCATGTATAGTTTATAAAATCATTTTAAAGTAGATGTTGTGTGTGCACGAGTATATCTGGTGTGCAAACACATGTGCACACACTTTGTGTGTGTGTGTGTGTGTGTGTTCATCTTCACAAGATATTTGGTTATATAAGAGGCCAGGGTTATACTCAGTAGACAGCACATCCTCCAGGGCGTAGAACCATGCTAAAGAAAGGATAGAAATGAGGGAAGAGATTAAAGAGAAGAGCAGAGGAGAGAGACCTGGGACCCAGAGATAAAAAAAGACACAAAGCAGGGAAAAAAAGACATTAAGGGAACAGGATCACTGAAGTAAATGAAATGAAAAGAATTTCTGTTCTTTCTTTTTTTTTGATTTGCGGTAATATTCCCTTTGAATTATATTTTCTGCTCTCGCTTGTGTTTGCCCAATTGAGTCGCAGCTGTAGGAATGTGAGCAGAAGATGATGAACTCTTGATTTTATTAATGCTCAAGAAGTGTTAGTGCAAGGTTTCCTTGTCATCCCGCAGGTCCTGTTGGCAGAGGAGAGGGGCAGCGAGCGCTTGTTTGCGGTGAAGGTGTTGAAGAAAGATGTGCTGTTTCAGGATGAGGACACAGAGAGCGCCATGGTGGAGAGAAGAGTGCTGGGCCTCGTGGGGCGACCTCACTTCCTGACCTCCCTCTACTGCGCCTTTCAAACCGAGGTCTGTGTGTTCATCAATGTGTGTGAGTGCGTGTAAATGGTTAATGATTAAAAGAGAGTGGGAGCCTGGGGACGAGGTTTATATATGCATATTCACATTTGTAAATTATGAAATATATATGGGCTGAAATGTCATTCGTCCCTTAGTGATGGAACAAATCTGCTCTTCACCTTCAGGGCAAGTTTTAAATCGCATTTTTGACCTTGCACAGCTGGAACACGAGTACTGACATTTATGGGGACACATGTCCTCATGTGGTCTCCCAGGGCAGAAACTGGCTATTTTTAAATATGAACTTTGGTTTTGTTGTATTGGTTGATAGTATACTGACACCTAGTGGCAAGGATGCTGCATCACACTAAAGTTTTAAGGTACTGATGCCATTCTGCAGGTGATGGTGTCTGTTAACACGGGATTACCAAAACAAAGCAAAGCATGTTGGATTTACCATAACTATGAGATTCTGAATTGTAAAAAGCATTTATATCTTTATAAAACTCGCAATTACAACTTCTGACTCTTTGATTGTTGCAATGTAATGCTGAACCAATCAAAATGATGGCAGCTTCAGCAGAAAAATGTTGTAACTGCTAAAAGTAGTTATCATGTATTATTTCTGTTTAGTAATGCCTATAATTGACTATTATTAATGTCTTAAAAATCCAAGATTTATCTGAAAATGAACAAAAGACATACAATATAGTTTAATGTAGTTAGTGGTTTTGTCTGTTATTACTCAAATTACACATTTGATTTTGATGAAACACATAATTCAGAGACTGAGAACAGCCTAGAATGTCCAGATTGTCATCTAGTAATTACGGTTATTAAAAAATGCCATGAACGCACCTAAATATTCACCTGGGCATGTGATTTCAAAATGGCCACCCCTATGAGTTAACCCACTCCATGTAAAATAAAAAAGCTTTTATTAGGCTACTAATACACCTGGATTCTTCATCATATGTGTACATCATATATCTAAATAAATATTCTTTAAAATGGAAAAAAAACTGCAAATATTTTGAGGTTCCTACAGATTAATGACTGTATCAGCTATGGAATAAAGCTGTTTAATCATAGTAAAAATGAAAGCATCACCATAAGTATTTTTCTCTTACCTCATTAAATGGTTGTTTACATTGGCTTAGATTGGGACCCATAGATGAAATTAATTTGCCCTGAACAAAGCAGTCTTGAGAGGGAGACAAATCACAAGAACAGATTGCTTTTACAATATTGACGAACAGGGTTTATAAAATGTCAACTTGAACAATGGGTGAACAAAATAACAGAAGCTTCTGACAGTGTAATAATTATATTCTTGGAATGCTGTCATGTGAGTCCCAAACTGGCAACCTGGAACAACCTGTGTAATAAAAGGTAATTCGTTGATCATTTTGTCTATTTCACTCTGACATGATAAATAATTTTTGTACCTAATGAATCTGAAGGGCTGTTTTTTTCAATGTAAGTTGCCTCATTTTGCTTTGAAAAATGACGTTTCATAGTGCTAATTGTCTGACCTCTTTCAGCAGACACGTATTGCAAAGTGGCAATTAGCCTAATGAAATACATTGGCAGCTGCAGAACTGAAAGAGGGAAAAAGATGAGTGTGTGTGTGTGTGTGTGTTTGTGTGTGTGTGTGTGTGTGTGTGTGTGTTTATGTCTGGCTTTAATGGTTTGTGAAGGTATGAATTACTCTTGTTGAATTGCTTGATTTTTTTTCTCCCCTGTCGATTGAATTTGTACCAAATCTCAATGTGACTCAATGTGACTCAAAGTGTTCGGTAATGATTTCTTTGTGTAGCCTATATAAACTGTGTCTCATTGTATCAAGTGCATGAAATAGAGTTTCCTGTCAAAGCTATCAGTTGCCCAGTGGAAAAATGCAGCATCCCACTGATCAGAAGTTTTACAGTCCTACAGACTGTAGTCAGATGCGTCTGGAGATAAAGTGGGCTGTTATCTTGCCTTGGCTGTAGGTGACAAATACTGAAGCAACAGAGAAAACTTGCTGGTCTCAGCTTACAACACAGAGTTCACGCAATTCATTGTGCAGGGTGTGTAAATTACAGTTAGATTTTCTTTATTACTCCAGTCTTCAGTGTCACACGATCCCTCAGAACTAAGCATTTTGATAGATACTTTAATTTTGACACTTTACCCATACTTTAATATAATTATAATTTTTGTAAAAATGTGATATTTCTGCCATTGTGTCATCACAAGGTCTTATTTCTATTCATGAACTTTTGTCATTTAATTTGACTGATTGCTAATCTGCTGTAACATTTGCTGTATTATTTACTTGCACAGCATGAGAACAAGCGAACTGATTGATGATTCATTTTTGATTCCTATTAGTATGACGAAGTTGCATATCTGCTGATTACTGATGATCGGTTTTGTGTTGTAGGATCGTCTGTATTACGTTATGGAGTACGTGAACGGTGGTGATCTTATGTTTCACATCCAAATCGTTGGCAAGTTTAAAGAACCGCATGCAGCGTGAGTTCAGCACTTCTCTTCCTTGACGTTTTATCTTAAAGGATTAGTTCACTGAACAAATGAAAATTTTCTGATAATGTACTCACCCTCAGGCCATGCAAGATGTAGATGAGTTTTTTTCTTCATCGAGAAATTTACTATTACATCACTTGCTCACCAGTGGATCCTTTGCAGCAAATGGGTGCCGTCAGAATGGGAGTCCAAACAGCTGATAAAAACATCACAATAATCCACAACTATTTCTTTAATCCCACTTGCTTTTTCACTTTTTGTACTGTTGAAGTACTTTCTTTCTTCAGTTTCTAAATTCACCTGTTTAGGATCATTCTGTCTTGCAGTGGAAGAATGTGTTTTTAATGGAGTTAATGAGAGATTTTCTTGTTGGCAGGTTCTATGCTGCTGAGATAGCAGTGGGTCTGTTCTTCCTGCACAACAAAGGCATCATATACAGGTACAAGACATGATGACAGTCTCCTTCCACAAGCAGATCATATGTTACAGTCACTTAATATTCTCTCTCTCTGATCTGCAGAGATCTAAAGCTGGACAATGTCCTGCTGGACAGTGAAGGACACATAAAGATAGCAGACTTTGGGATGTGTAGGGAAGGCATGATGGAAGGGGACACCACTCGGACCTTCTGTGGCACACCTGATTACATCGCACCTGAGGTTTCCTTTACTCTATCTCCATCCTTTCTCCTACCATCTGATTCATCTTCTCTTCTCCATGACCTTGGCTCTGTGTTTACATGAACACTCAGTGGATGTGCGCAGTCAGCACATGTCTGTGTGTATGTGCATCTACATGTCTCTGTGTGATTTCATTTAGGTTCACTGCGGTGTTTACTACACGGCCACATGATGAACCATCCCTCTCAAGTGATGTATGTGCTAAATCGTCAATGTTTGTGTTGTGCTGTGTGATGGAAAGGCAATGTGAATGTGGGTCTAGCGAAGCCTAGTATGCATCAGTACTGTATCACATTGTCACATTGATCACATTATGTAAAAAAAAAATTGATCTTTGTGTCCCTGTCATTTTGAAAGGATGCAATATGTGTCCCTGCAGGCAAGGAAATTAATCTCTCTTTCTCACGCTGTGACACACACACTCACGGCTGACACAGAGACACTGGCATATTTATTGTGTAATTATCTTTAATATGATTTTCATGAGCTTATCTGCACATTGAGAGGGCTGTAATAGCATCCATCTAACTATGTAATGGGAATATTCCTAATTTATATGATTTTGAGAATATAACATTATGAAATTTGAAGTATTTAGCAAGGATGGGAAAAATTCTAAATTCATTTAAGAATTGGCCTTCTTTAAGTTTATGAGATGGAATGTGAGTTTAGTTGGTCACGTTCCACAGGATGTTGAATTGGAATTTAAATTGGAATGATGGGAAGTGGAATTTACTGAATTGCAATTCAAAGAAATTCAATAGTCATGAACAGAAGAACAAAAGGACAAGAACAAGCCTACCACAACTTACCTAGAGCTCACTTAAAGTTTGCATCTTATCCTGCTTCATGTTGTTTGGCTCCATTTTGAAGAGTATTCTGTGAAGTATCTTTTTAAATGTGTAATATGAAAATGTGTAATTTATTAAATATAACTAGTATGCCACTATTTAATAGCTTGGGTTCACTAAGTTTTTTTTTATGCTCACCAAGGCTATTTTTAAATATTTATAATAAAATATTTAAAAATTTAATTTATTCCTAGTAATTGATTCCTGTGATGTCAAATCTGAATTTTCAGCAGCCATTACTCCAGTCTTCAGTGTCACATGATCCTTCAGAAACCATTCTAATATGCTGATTTGGTGGTCAAGAAACATTACTATTATCATTGAAGTTGTGCTGCTTAATAGTTTTTTGGAAACCTTCAAAGATTTTTTTTTAGGATTCTATGATGCATTTATTTGAAAGGGAAATCTTTGCTAACATTATGCATCCTTGCTGAATAAAAGTATTCATTTATTTTTTTTAAAAACTCTTACTGACCCCACACTTTTGAACGGTAGTGTAGGTATTTCATTATATTGAATAAATTGCATTTTAATGATATACATATTTTATAAATTATGTATTTATAAATGCAAATGGAATAATAATATAAATAAAATTGTATAAAATTTTACATCATCCCATGTTTTTAGAAATACCATTTATTCATACTAAATGTAGTTATATTAAATATCATTTCATTTTATTTCCATAAATTCAAACTATAATTCTACATCCTGTTTGCTACCTCAATACAAATGAAAGAATTCAGTTGGAATTCAAAAGGCATTCTCGGTTAACATTTTGGGAAATCTATATTAAAAACCGTTATAACAGATCTGTGTTGTTTTCAGATTGTGGCATATCAGCCGTATGGTAAAGCAGCGGACTGGTGGTCATATGGAGTCCTCCTCTATGAGATGCTGGCTGGACAGGTAATTTTTCATCCTCTGCTTCCCTGAACCTTTAATTTTGTCCTTTTCTCACTAGATCTTCATCCCCGACACCCTCTCCCTCTGTCTCTCTCTTTTCATCAGCCTCCTTTTGATGGCATAGATGAGGAGGAGCTGTTTCAGTCCATCATGGAACAGAGCGTTTCATATCCTAAGAGTCTCTCTCGGGAGGCTGTGGCCATCTGCAAAGGAGTAATCTACTTCCTGTTCTTTCATCTCTGCTGCTTACATACTTGGCTCACAGTGCATGCACAGGGCAATCTATTCCATCTTTAATACTAACATAACCTCCAAAAAAATGACTTAAATTAGCATACAAGTCTATTTCCATCCTTTCTGTTTTTCTTACTCTCTTTCTCCATCTGTTTCTCTCCCAGCTTCTCACCAAGAACCCTGCTAAGCGTTTGGGTGGAGGAGAGGATGCAGAGAGAGAGCTGCGGGAGCATCCTTTTTTCCGCTGGATGGACTGGGACCGGCTGGAGAGACTGGAGATACAGCCTCCCTTCAAACCCAGAAGTGTCAGTATCACCTATCACCACACCTGTCTCTGTGTGTGGGTCAGGCTTTACCCCAGAAATGCCCCACAATGATAGTAAACATTTATGGATTATTAAACATGCTCAATAATGTCTCACAACAATATAAAAATACAGCTTAGGGGTAGAGAATATACAAAAATCATTAGCTAAATAAAAACAATAGAAGTAAATGGAAACTCCCCACCATGATAGAAAAAAACGTGTATTAAATAATAAATAAATAAATGATTTGATCAGTCAGTCATTAATTGCCAAATAAATATATGGATGGAAGGATGGATAGATTAAAAAACTATATATTATGTACATTTTACACTAAATTAACTTTTACATTTTTTATCTATTAATTGTAATTAGCTTTAAATAGAACCAATAGAAGTCGTGTTACGTCCTCATTTTCTTAGGGAGATAAATGTTGTACAGTATGTGTGTGTGTGTGTGCATGTTTGTTTTTGTTATTTTAAACCCGTAACCATGTAACTGGAAGTTTACTGATGCACTCTGCCTGCTCCTCCTTATTATTTTCAGTGTGCATCTGTGCATGTGTGCTTGCACATTTATTGGTGTTATTTTGTCTTGTATGCAGTAAGCCTGGCCTTCATTGCCTGTATCTCTTTGCCCATATTACTCATGCTAATCTATGTGGATATTATGCTGTGTCAATGTATGTGAGCATAGCAAATAAGTAGAGGTGCTCTGAGTTCACAGCGCTGAACTGACATCAATAGCATCCACTTAATTTCCTTGATATTTAATAGTAATAACCTTAACCCAGTTGATTCTTTTTGTCATTCCCACAGGGAGGCAGAAAAGGAGAGAACTTTGATAATTTTTTCACATCCGCCCCCTCTGCCCTCACGCCTTCTGACCCGGATGTTCTTGCCGCCATAAGTCAAGAGGAATTCCAAGACTTCACCTACAATAACCCCGAATTTCCCCCCTCACCCCTCACAGCTGTCTGAGAAAACCTTGATCAATCCACACCAACCATCTTTTGACTTTTTCTGCTTCTGTTCATGATTTCAACTTGTGACCAAAAAAAAAAGTGTAATTTGGCTTCTGCTTGCTTACAATAGGAGTCTGTCTTAATTAGACCAGCCATCACATTCTAAAATGACACCACATTGATTTTAATAATCTTAATGGTAAAACAAACTAAGCATTAATAATATTTAGCCAGTCCACTTTGAGAGTATCAGCCTGAATTATTTAGGGGTCATGCATTCATGTCATTATCTCATTGGACAATAGGATCTTATTGGATATCCCTTTGGATGATAGTAGTTGCCATGACCTAATTATAACTGAGTGCACCATAGAAACCAGCATGAACATGATTTCCCCCATGTTTTAAAGTTCACTTCAAGTTGATTATTTAATCTCAGATCAAACTAATACGGTTCTGCTTGTCTTTGTGTAAGATCCTGTTTGCTCTGGTTTGGTTTAGGTAACTAAATAAGTGCAGACAGGTGAGCAAACACCGGTAATCCTTTCATCAAACAACTGGTATAGAAACTCAGTATTATGATTTAGGAGTCACACACATGATGGCTAGATGCAAAAAAAAGGATTAATGCTTCAGCATATAAACTATTTGTTTTTGACATGAATGTTAGTGCATACCGTATATCTCTGTAGATGCATCGGAATTCAATCCAAATATGATTCTATACAAACTATAAATGTTTGAGTCATCTTAGTATTTTACAAAAATAAGTTTTTGGGATCAATCTTATTAATAGAAATGACTTTATGAAAAACACAAATTTAGATATTTATGATTTATCCCATATATTTATATGCATATATATATATATAAAGTATGTGCAGTGTATTATAAAGTATATATGTTAATGTTTATTCAGAATTCATAATAGAAATTTTCTATGAACATGTTAAACTACATCATCAGCATTTTTACATCAGCATAAAATAAAAATGCGCATGTCATCATGTTTTGCAACCTCTAGGTTCAAGAAAAAGCAGTCCCAACTGTTATCAACCAAATATTTTGTTTATAGTGCATAGGATTGATTAAATTAAAGTATTTCTTATTATATTACCAATTTGGTCTCAAAACAGTGTCAATTTGGTCTCAAAATCTCACATTTTTGGGTGAATTCATTGACTGTTATTTCTAGTATGAATATGGTTATTTAATTTCAATTTATTTATGAAGCACAACTAAACACAACTATCGTTGACCAATGTGCAGAATAATAACAAAATAAGTAACCATGAACAGAATTAAAACAAAGACAAGGTCACAAATAAAACTTCAAAATGCAAGGCAAAGTAAATGCAAATCATGAATAATAAGTCAAATCAAATAAAAATGATTTGAACCTAGATTAAAAAATGGATAGTGTAGGGGCGGTTCTGATTTCTGTATGAAGACTATTCCAAAGTCTCGGAGCAGCTACGGTGAATGTTTGATCACCCCTAGACTTGAGTCTGGTTCTAGGAACCACTAAGAGCCTTAAATTGGCAGACCTAAGCGCTCTTGCAGGTTGGTGGTCTATCAACAGATCAGAGAGGTATGAGGGTGCTAAACCATTCAAAGACTTAAAAACCATTAAGAGCACTTTAAAAGTAATCCTATAGCGCACAGGTAACCAATGTAATGACTGAAGGACGGGTAATATGCTCACGCTTTCGAGCTCCCATCAGGATGCTGGCAGCCACATTTTGAACCATCTGAAGGCGGTTTAAGGAAGATTGACTGATCTCCAAATAAAGATAGTTGCAATAATCAAGCCTTGTGGTGATAAAAGCATGGATTACTCTTTCAAAATTAGTAAAAGAAAGAAAGGATTTAATTTTTACCAGTGTTCGCAACTGATAGAAGCTTAACTTCACAACTTGGTTCACTTGTCTATCAAGCTTTAAGGCACTGTCGAACACCACACCCAGATTTTTCACGTACGGCTTTACATAAGGTGCCAGAACACCAAGATTTAGATTTGGTATACAGTGTGTATCAGAAGGGGTAAAAATCCTAATCCAATTTTATGTTTCAAAGGAAGATATACTTGTGTGTCATCTGCATAACAATAATAAATTATACCATACTTCTCAAAGATAGAACCGAGGGGAAGCATATATAAGGAAAATAACATGGGAGCTAGAGTAGAGCCTTGAGGGACCCCACAGGTCAAAGATACAGAAGAAGAGTGAAATTTGCCAATATTAACTGAGAAAGTCCTGTTCGTAAGATAAGACTGGATCCAATTTAGGGCTGAACATCTAATGCTCACTAACTGTTCTAAGCGGGACAGAAGAACTTTGTGATCTACAGTGTCAAAAGCAGTGCTCAAGTCTAAAAGTACAAGTGCTACAGAATCTCCAGAGTCGGTAGCTAAAATAATGTCATTAAACACTTTTAAAAGAGCAGTCTCAGTGGAGTGACATTTTCTAATGCCTGATTGGAACGCATCAAAAATCAAAAAAGAAACTTTAGAGTTGATTAAAAACTACTTTCTCTTAAATTTTTACTAAAAATGGAAGATTAGAGAAATGGGTTTAAAATGTTATAAATCAGAGGTATCTAAATTAGGCCTCTTAAGTCTGGGTTATACCGAGGCATGTTTTAAATAGTCAGGAACAACCCCTAACTCCTATTTAGACACTGTGAGGTCTCAGAGATCAGCATGCATTTGCCTTGCATATTGAAAATCGTGATGCCTGACCTAGAATGACCTGAGTCATTGACACTGTGCCCAAATTGTCCATCTAATATAATTTGAAAGTTGCACTGTCGACAAAATACTGCCAATAGAAAAGTGGGAACATTTCACACATTACGTGGGAAAGACAGTTTAGGAGTGGAAAGTTAAGTAAAAAGAAATGTGTGAATTTGGAATGTAAATAATTTAAACGTACTTATTAATTAATAAAAAAATTGATTATTGTCTGATCATGGTCGACATTTCCCAGCCTTTAATTTCATCGCCAAGTTGCTGATCTTGTGCATGGTTATGTAAATTGTACATTTTGTAAATCAGGGCGTTTTCAGTTCTGCTCCTGGTGATCCACTGTACGTTTCTGTAGATTGGTTCCAGCTATACAGCACACCTTCCAAACTTTCAGTTGAACTCAACAGATTAGCAGCGGTGCTTGTTTTGAGGTTGGAACTAAGCTCTGTAGTTAGATTTACAAAAACAACTGTATTGTGTATTGATGTAATTATGCTATATACTATGTCCCTATGTGTTTCTAATCACAATAAACGATTCAACCTCAGTATCAAAGATAATTTGATTAAATGTGCATAGATAGATAGATAGAATCATTGCATAATAATTTTGTATTGAGTCATTTTGTGTTTTCAAATTGTGAAAATAAAATAGATGAAGTAAACTGAGCACTTTTTTGTGTGTTCACTCCATCATTCACCTGTTTGGCCTCGTCTCACTGGTCACGTCTCTGGAGTTTGTGTTCGTGCTGATGAGACGGCAGACCTTTACGCTCTTCTCTCAATCTCAAGACTTTCTCTCTCCACTCATCGCTCCATCGGTGCCGTCCCAGTGGGCTTGAGTGATATAACAGGATACCCTTAGATACCCTGCCTATTAAAAACTACCCTAACCTCCTTACTGTAACTGTCTTCATCTCCGTCACTCCTCTTTTTTTAATGCCCCACTCTGACTTTCTTTTTAGTTCTGTGACCTCATCTTCTTTGTTGAACTTAAGATTTCCAGCATCTGAAATATAAAAAGGTTTGTTAAAGAAATCAAATGCTTTGAGAAATGCTTGCTTGTCATGTGTTGTTGAATATAATGTAGATCTTCATCTCTCTCTCCCTTCTTCCCTTCTTGAGGTCAGAGTGTACTATGCTATAGATATCATGGCTAAAAATACTTTATCATGAGGCTGAGGCCACTATGCAATGTAATGGGACTAATAGAGAAAAAACTGAGAAAGGATGAGATGAGGCTTGACTTGGCTTGACAAATGTGAGCATTTATCTGAGCTTTTTTTCTGAATTTAAAGTGTATGTGTCTTTGCAGATAAGAAAGAAACATCACAAACGCAATCTTTGTAATATCTCAATTGTTTCTCTCAGACTTTTGCTTCTGTCGGCTGTTTCTCAGATGTTTCTTCTGAAAAAAAGACCCCAGTAATCCTACATTTATCTCACTAAGAGTTTCAAAAGAAACATAGTCATCATTCTGCACATTTTCTTTTGTTAAATCCAACAAAGATTCAGTGACATGTCAATCTTGGATGTCGCTGCAAAGACCCTTTGAATTATGACAAATTGTTAAGGGAAATTGCACTAATTACTAATGTAAGGAGAAAATGAGTCTTCTTTTTCTGACTGACTCATTTAAATGATGCTGCTCTCTGCCTAACTGTCTTCTCACAATACACTATAGACCAATCTGTCTTTCCTTCCATACCTGAACTAATTTACTTAAGTTCTCTGTCTGTTTACGGGAGAGTGCTGGAATTTGGCAGGTCTACACTTTTACAGAGATACATATTTCATTCACACACTTGGATGCACCAATATTAAAATTCTAATTAAAGAGCCAATAATTATTTTCTTTATTATATTTTGTTTTATTCACTTTTTAATTTATAAGTTGTGTCCATTACCCAATTAAAATTATATAATTATAATTTTTTTTTATAATTAATAATAATTATATATATATACAGTGGGGGAAAAAAGTATTTAGTCAGCCA